AGTTGAGTCGAGCTCGTAATGGACATACTTGCATGTCTTCATGTGACGACAGGTGTCAAGAAAAGAACAATCCCCCAAACTAACATCAGCATGAAGACAAATTATGCACCGAAAATGAACCTTGTCACAAGCAATGAAGGAACCAGACTGACGGCGGCAATCTTCTTTTGTTAATGCTGAACAGTACTCTTTTACTTGGGAACCACCTTTGCTTTTGAACTTTGCAGCCACGGCAATTTCTTTAGCAGTTGGTCGATGAATTAAGTCCAAGAAAAACGAAAAAAAAACTTGGCCGGGCGAGCATTGCTTAGGCTGCTCGCCTGCTCGCCGGAAACGAAATTTGAGGGGTAATTTGTTTAGGATCGAACCCGCTCTGATACCATGTTAAGAAAAATAATAATGATATTATAATGTAAGCTCTTATTTATTACAATGTAGAAGACCCTATTTATAGGGTTACAAATAACTGTAAAAGGAAATATTATGTAATAATTACCCTATCAACAACTAAGGAAAATAATCCTACATAATTGGAATAATATAATGGAAAATATTGCATGCAATATTTCTATATTTAATACATATTGCATGTTTCATACGTTCCCTAATGATCCAATCCTTCTACTCAATTTAATTCAAAAGAACTCAAGAGTTCATTTCATAGGATATTAATATTTTTTAATTTTTTTTCATGAGTCTGGAAAGGAATTAAATACGGTTATGATGTTTCAAAACTTATTTATTTATTTATGTAAATTGTTAACTTCTTTACTTATAAGTAAATAAAGTATTTCAATTAGAATAACTTTTTTTTCTATGATTCATCAAATGATGATAAATGAATAATGCTATCCATCTTATTGAACTTATTATTTAATTACTTTGTAAGGACCTGACTAGAGAGAACATTATACGTGAATTTTGGATTTGGGCATTAGTGATAATCTAAGAGTGATCTTTATAGAATTGACATCTTATAGATCTTATATTACTCACTATTAAATTAATATCTGCTTTTCTAAATTTAGTGGGTTAGTCCATTGCAGTATAAATTATTCTTACACGTGAGCATTGTAGTACTTTAAAGGCGCACTTAGCACGTGTGCATTATGACACTGGTACGGCCAGTTCTTGGAGTTGTACACCTATTAGAAATTTATTTATTTAAAAAAAAAATAAGGTGTTTGATACAGGTATTCATTGGTTCATCTAACGGCATATGTTAACTGAAAAATGACTGCCAGGATGTCGGAAAATTTGTTCAATTAGTTGTTTTGGTCAGCTTTTGACCAATTATTTAAATGGATTCGTTAGTCAGACAAAAGATTTCTTTGGCTAAATGTATTATACTCCATAAGTAGATTAAATCATATATTTATTTCTCAAAACTAATTAAGGATGAATGAGAAATTAAGGTCAAAAAATGACCACTTGATATTGAAATAAGTTAGGAATAAAAATTGATAAAAAAAATTGAAAAATGTCAATCCACATGGTACCAATAGTCTTTGAAAAAAAAAAGGACCTACGTGTTAGTAGGTTAAGCCAAACCCCGTCTTGGGCTTGGGTTTAGGCAAAGTTAGTATATATATTTTTGCTAACTAAAATAATATTTGAAATTTATTATTTTATTATTAAATTGAAATAATATATTTATTTATATTATTTATTTTTTCCAAATTTTTCTGTGCACGACACGTGGCTTCTTCTAGAAATTTGCAGTTAACTATTAAATTGTCTATCCAAATGGATGTATCTGTTCAAGACACAACTTTTCAACTTCTATATATATGATAAGTGTATTTTATACACTTATTCCGATGTCTAAAATAGTAATATTTGATTGTTCTTTTAACAAATAGTATCCTAAATTTTTGTATTTTACGTTTAATGGGTAAAACTTTATAAATAAAAAGGAATTGAAGGAAATAAGCAAAAAGCGAGGAAAAATGGCAAAATTCAAAGTACAGGATACTAAATTAGCCGTTGGATGGAAGTTGGGGATCAAATTCCACACTCTGAAAGTTGAGGTCTTGAAGAAAATAATAAATTATATAGGCCTAATTGTTGTACTTGTATAGGATTAAAATTCATTAACAATTGGGAATCCAATTTACACAAAAAAAAGTGGGCTGGAAGACACGGCAAAGGTCAAGTAATTAAAGAGAATGAGAGTCCTTTTTAGTCAAATATTGTGGTTGCTAGGTTAATATATATATATATATATATATACTCACATGCATGCAGATATAGAGGAGGAGAGACTAACCTACAGACATAGGCGGATCCAAGCCCGGGCTGCCCGTGCTTGCCCAAGCCCAGATGCAGTTAAATTTTATTTTTTATTTATTTATTTTAGTTCAGCCCATGTAAAATTTAAAATCAGCTTGTGTAAAATTGAAAATCAGCCCGTGTGGTTTAAACCCAATTGCAACAAAATGAGCAAATGACCCAACTTCAATTTATTGACCCAAACAAAACATAAATTTTATTTTCCATTTAAGCCCAAAACTAAAACTAAGCACAAACCAAATTTAATTCTAATCCAACATTCTCCAACAACAGGTCCAAAACGATTCCTCTCCAACCTTTTTTTTTTTCAAATTTTCAATCCAAAAATTCTATAAAAAATTAAGGAACTTATTACCCTAATCAAAGATTTCATAGCCTAATACCTTCTAGTAGGTGCCGGCGTGCCGCGAAGAACCGTCAGTCAGCCGTATAGGAGTCCAAACCGTCGGTTCGCCGACGCCACTACTGTTCTCCATTTCTCTTTGTATGCCTGTGAGCCTCTCTCTCTGAATGGCTATTATGGATTGTATTATGTAGAGTTTATAGACCATAGTTGTATAGGAAAATAATAGGATTAGAAAATCTAAAATCTGAAAACTAGAAAACGAAAATGGAAACCGGAAACAGGAGGCCCGAATGCTGTTGGAACTTAGAAAATAAAAAGAAGAAGAATGACTCTTTTAATTTATATGGATTGTTGACACATGGATGGGAAGATTTTGATAAAGTTTAAAGTTAATTAATTAAATAATAAGAATTGTTTGTCACTTTGTCTGTTTGTGGCATGTGGTTTAAAGCACAAATAGATTATAGATATATCTCATCTCATATCTATCTTTTTAAGTCATTATTTTCATATTGTTTAAATTATTTTGATTGATTTTCACAAAATACAAAAATGAAACAATTGCAATAACTGTAAAGTAAATAAAAAATATTAAAAAAATGTATAATTGTATGGTAGTAACTTAGATTTTATAACTTGGACCATTTTTTATATATATTTGTCATTAATATTATATTGATTATTGAGTATGAGTTTTTAAAAATCGAAGTTTTCTTAGATTTCGATTGTCAACATGCTTAATCGAAATAACGCAGTAAACTTATCATTATCAAGGCATAGACGTAGTCCCGGTCCAACGAACATGTAGGAAAAGCAAATTGCAAGAGCTTAATATACTCCCTCGTCACTTGTAAGTAA